GTATGCGTAACACGTCAGGCTATGCTGGCACATTGCAGGTAACACTTAAAATCATCGTTTTCTATCAATCGCATTTATCCATTTCACGTGAGAGGTTCTCCACTATATAACGTTATGGGAACAAATTATTCTCTCGAACAGTTTTCAAAAGTCGATCTGTTCAAAGCAAACATCATACCAGCGCCGACCTCTTCCATTGTGGTGAGAAACATGTTCTGAATCGTAAAGAAATATGCCTTCAGGTCACTCACAGTAACGATGGGTTACAAAGAATTTGAAACGATAGTCTCTGTTTTGGATTTCAAAAGAGAAGCGGGTCTTTGGCATTCGGTTTTAACGGTATCTATTTCATATTCACATATTCTTTTTGTGTCACATAAAGGCATAGCTAAAGGGAAAGGGTGCAAAGGTTGCACACCTTCCTTTTCGAAGAGTGAAAAAAAAGGAAAGTAAAGAGGAAAAGATAATCGTAGACAAACCCATCCTGATGTTCGCTTTTCTCCTCATTAAGAATACAAAAAAAATTATTTCACTTTCCTCATTTCTTTGGATAAAATCTTGGCTAATTCCATGCGCCAATTTATAGCACGCTTCGGTTATCATTTCTGATTGTGTTTCATTTTATAATTCTCTTACATAATACAGTTGTAAATGTGCCATTGGAATCAATCGTTAAGACTTAACCAAATCGTTTAACTTAATGTGAATCGAAGTGTTATCTTTTGCAAAATTCGTGTTGAGTTTATGAAATGAGTGGATGGTGTTTTATGGACTGTAGAAGTAAATGGTTTTAGAGTGTTTTCGTTGGTTTGAGAGTGATCTTTGTGCCATATTCATTGATGAAGATAAATCCAGCATCGTGGATGTTAATGGTCACACGATATCAAGGTGATTACTTTATAATCTTCGCTTGCGATTCATCTTCTCAGAGAATCAGTTTTCTTTAACTCTGTGAACGACTTTTAAAAATATCATTAATCTCTAAGCGAATCTTCGCAGTGACAATTTCATTGTTGCGTTCTTCATATGATTTTACTTTTATAACGTGAAGACAGTTCAATTTAATCAAAGTTGAAATTTTTCAGCGAAATGTGCTTTGGTGAAATCTCGAGATCTGCACTGGGGTCTATTAGCAACTCGAGATCACAAAGATATAAACTTGTCATCGCTACGTAGCGTGCTTGTTGCTGATGGAGCGAATCCATGGTCTCTATCATCGTGCGATCAGTTCGCTAGTGCATTCCAATCCAAGGGTCTACGGCCAGATGCTCTTTGTCCATGTGCGGGATCTTCAGAAACTGGAACAATTTCCGTTAGAAGGTGAGCAGTTTCGCTTCTTTATTTTCATTTCGTTTTGTCGTTTACTTTTTGAAAATTGCTATCGGAGCGACCTGGATCGTCAAAATCTCTTTTAACTCCAGGCCTTCGACGACCGATTCGGCCAGTAATACTGCTCGTGGAGTTCTTTCTATGTTGGCTTTAAGTCATTCGGTGGTGCGTGTGGATCAAGAGAATTCACTCACATCACTTACCCTTCAGGTATCACTTCATGTAATGACACCTCTTTGATATCATCATACTTCAGGTTTTGCGGTGAATGTTTTCACCTCAAATGGACGATTCACTTCTGAACGGCCAGACACTTGATGTTGCCTCGTTATATTGAAGAGTGTAATAAAAGGATAATCACATATTTAGTTGTATGAAGTGCAGTAGCAGTGATTTATTTTCGTAATGCACTGCAACCGTTTGGTTTATTTCTAGGATGCAGGACAAGTGATACCATCTGGGGCTGCCGTAGTGGTGAAGGCAACTGGCCAACCAAAATTGTGTCGTGCCGATGAGGTGGGTGAGATATGTCTCTGCTCACACAGTACGGGTTCTGCATATTGGGCTCTCGATGGCATTTCAGCCTCTACTTTCAAGGTATCATATCAGTTGTAAATTTTCTTTTTTTTTTCTAAATTTGTGCTTTGCGTGTTATTGTATTAGTAGGTTCAAAGTGTTCATCAAGTTCTTAATTTCGCCATCATTTCATTTGTAGATGATTATTCATCGCTTCCTCCGTAAAGAAAAAAAAAAAGAGAAACTGTGCATTAATCGTTTAATCACATACTGTTGTTGGGTATCTGTTTGTGTATTCATTAATGGCAAATTGATTTCCACTGATCCTTTTTATGACTGAATTTTCCAGGTAGAGCCACTTGGTGTTGATGACAGACCGCTTGGACCACTCACCTATGTACGAAGTGGATTGCTCGGCTTTCTTGGGCCGGTGAGCCCTCAGTATTTGTTATTGTTATTCATTCATGATTTTCCCTTGACCACTGAATTGGTGTGCATCATTTAAAAATTCGACTGATTTCTGTTTATCATGTGAAAAATTTCGTTAATTCATAGAAAACATACTTGTAATACATTGGTATTGTTGAATGCCAGTGACATAGCTAGCGCCTCCAGTGCATAACATACAGTCATTTCGCATAATGCTTGCAACTGTCATTTGCGGATCTTTAAACCAATTAATCATGCATATTTATTTTTGTAATGCGGACACTAATTGTTTGAATTATGTGATTCGTTGCTGAACGATTAAATTAGCTGAATATGAACGTATCGCTCAAGATTTATGTCCTTTGAAATAAAGCAAAAGAGGGATAGAGAGAGCCAATGTTGATATTATGTGAACGAATGGTTTGGCTCTTGCAGAATGGTTTGGTTTTTGTGGTTGGCAGTCGGAGCTCGCAAATGTTCGTTTCGGGACGTCAGCATAGCGCGGACGACTTGATTGCCACTGTTCTAGCAGTTGAACCGATGAAATTCATTTATCGAGGTCGCTTGAATATTTCGTTTTGTTTCGTTAAAACACTATTCATTCAGAGTGGTGCCTTTCATTCCGACCTTTTGTTTTCGTTCGTTTCTCTTTCGTTTTTCATTCTATCGTAATTTCATTCTATCTTTCGTAATCAGTTAATTCTTTGATCATTGAATTTCCAAACTTATCGAAAATGATCACTTCTTTACAAAACTGTTATCAGTAAATTGATATTTTGCCTGAGCATACATAACATATTCTGGTGAATTCGTAATGAATGCTTCTGCAGGTATTCTTCATGATATTTGAAAATAATCTCGCGATGTCTCAGAGGGTGTGGTAGGCACAGAGTTTGAACTGAATGATGTAGAATATGATACTTGTATTTGAATTCTGCACTATTTGAGTTCTGATATTGTATTTTGCAGGCAGAATTGCGATCTTTTCGGTGTGCGTGTTGAGGGATGAACGAATTTGTATTGTTGCTGAGCAGAAGCCGGGTGTTTCTGAGGAGGATTCATTCAGTGTATGTTATTGTGTTGTTGATTAACGGATCATTTTCTCACACATAAGATAAGAACAAGCATACGTTACAATCGAAGAAACGTTGGCTTCTAATTGAGTGTGCTCTATCAATAAGGGACAACCACGAAAGTGTGTACTATGAAGTGAGCATAAGGAAGTGTTCTTTTATCAGTTACAATTTGAATTATAGTGGATGAGTCGTGTACTGCAAGCGATCGATAGTATTCATCAAGTAGGTATATACTGTCTCGCTCTTGTATCGCCAAATCACTTACCAAAGGTTGGTGTTAACTTGTTTTTTCTTTTACATTGTTTTTTCTTTCTCAGAACGCTTCTTTGATCACAACAAACAAAGCAGTGTTTGATTGTCGTCGAACATAAGTTTGCAACTAACCAGTGCGGATAGTCAGTTCTGAAGAGTGGCTTTTTTTTTGATGTTTGCAGGCCGTTGCATGAGCATTGCTTTTAATTATACTGCAACTCTATCATTTACAGACACCATTGGGTGGCATTCATGTATCGGAGACAAGACAGCGGTTCCTCGATGGTAATTTGCATCCAACCACACTGCTCATGTGTCCACACAGTTGTGTGGTGAACTTGCCCAAACCACGCGAGCAACAATCCGATGTCGGTCCAGCGGCGATGTTCGTCGGCAATATTGTGCAAGGCGTTCGCATTGCGGGTGCAAAAGGTCGTGATGTGGGACCCGACGAGGATAAAGTCAGTTATAAACACTATTTGATTCAGTGTGCACCTATGATATGCAAGCAATTGAACAATGACTTTCAGTCGTGTTTAATCGATGTGTTACGTCAACGAGCTCACACGTCACCAGACCACGTGCTCTTCACGCAGATGAATGCTCGTGGCGCTGAGGTATTGAGTGTGACATGCTTGCAATTGTTACGTAGAGCTGAACGTATCGGTGCGTTACTCCTTGATAAAGGTCATCTGAACGTTGGTGATCATGTAGCACTTATATTTCCACCTGGAATTGATCTCATCGCTGCTTTTTACGGGTGTCAATCAGCTGGTTTGTTGGAGTTCATCATATTTGTCACCTCCATTCCCTCCTAGTTATTCACTTAATCATCTCCAATTATTGTCTCATCTCACATTATTTTATCTCTTTTTGTATAACTCTTGAGGAAATTCGCACATATTCTTACAACCTTACTGTTGAAACTGGCTTATTTCAAAATTGCCACTAACATATCTTTTTTCAGAAATATATAAAGTGTTCGATTTGTCGATTATATAACATATAGCAGTTTTAAAGTTGTTGATCCAATATTAAGGTTTGGTACCAGTTTGTATCCGTCCTCCGCATGCAAACAATCTACAAACCACACTGCCAACAGTGCGTATGATTGTGGATGTATCAAAAGCTGTTGCTCTTCTATCCACGTCAGCAATGATTAAATTGATTAGGTGCAAGGAGGCATCCATTCGCGTTGATGCCAAGGTTATTTCTCTTTTCGCTGAATGTGCTCTTCTTACTATTCATTTCAAATTGTTAACGCTACAATGTCATATTTTTCATCGTAATTAGACACTATCTATTTAAGGCTTGGCCGACGATTCTCGACGTTGATGACGTACCATCATCAAGTAAGAGAAAAACGGAAATGGATAACCTTGAACATAAACCAACTGATGTTTGCTATTTAGTGAGTCTTTTTTTCCATTTCGTGCCCCATTATCATGTTTGGTAGTCGTCAGTAAATTTCATTAGTACGTTTACGATTCAGTTAGAAACGATTGAATAATTGTTTGAATGCGTCATTCATATTTAATAAGCATTGTTTTGTTTTCATAGGATTTTTCGGTGAGTACAACGGGTCAGCTAGCAGGTATAAAGATGAGTGCAAGTGGTGCAGCTGCATTGTGCAGAAGTTTGAAAGTTGCGTGCGAATTGTATCCCTCCAGGCATATTACCCTGTGTCTTGATCCGTATTGCGGGCTTGGCTTCAGTCTTTGGTGTTTGTCGAGGTTATTTTCCTGAATCATTCGTGACTAACTCTACTAGAAAACGTTTTTGTTCTTTAAGTATTTGCATGAAACTCGCAATCGTTTGTCTGTGCCATCTGATGCATTATTTCTGCATAAAATTTTTCTGACTTCAAATCGCTTTACCCGCGAAATTTTCAAGATTACTGAATGATTTTCGTTTACCCTTCCATATCAGTCATTTTTATTCATCATATTTACTGATGATTGTTGTAAATGTGCATTTATCCAAAGAACAAAGCAATTTGTTTTTATTTTTAGCGTTTATTCGGGTCATCATTCCGTTTTAATTCCTCCTTCAGAGGTCGAACAAAATCCAGCTTTGTGGTTGACAATCGTATCACAGCATAAAGGTATGCATAATTTCAAGATTCAGTTTCTAAATCATTCGCTTTTCATCTTTATTGCACACAATTGTAAATAACGATACAAATGCGAATTAGTTAAACAGAAAGTGGATGATTATAGTGTTGCTTTGTTTTGTAGTGCGTGATACATTCTGTTCATACGGTGTTATGGAGTTATGTGTTCGTGAACTAGCACCTCAGATCTCGATCTTGAAAGAGAAAGGTGTTTCTCTATCGTGGTTAGTTCTGCTTATATTATTTTATCTTTATCTGCGCATTTATTATTTGTTTAAAATTCGTTAAAATATCCGATGAAAATCATCGCAAAAATTTACATTTAATTCTGGGTGTTCATAATGCAGACCAAATGGTTCTCTTTTGAATTAGGTCCATGGAAATTATTCCATTCTTGAATTTGAACTGGATACAGCTAACAGATGAATTTGGTTATGCTGTAATAGGTTGGAGCTCTAACATAACTAAAATATGAATTGTTTCAGTGTTCGAACATGTGTAGTTGTAGCCGAAGAACGACCACGAGTGTCTTTATGTACAGCGTTTACAAAACTTTTCTCGCCGCTTGGACTAAATGCACGCGCAGTGTCGACCTCGTTTGGTTGTCGGGTAAGTGAAATGATTCGTACGTCCCTTATAAGCGATTTCCTCAATACAACAATCTTTGTTGTAAATGAGAATATGGATGAACGTTGAAAATACTAACTGCTCATAATTTTGATGGATTTGTTTAGTATAGTTTTCTTGATTGGAGATGGTCGACTTGAAAATGATGGTTTCAGGTGAATACAGCGATTTGTATGCAAGGAGCAGCTAGTCCAGATCCAGCAACAGTTTATGTGGATGCACGTGCATTACGCAACGATCGTGTCACACTCGTCGAAAAGGGTGCTCCTCACAGTATCGCATTGATGGAAAGTGGCAAGGTCGATTTAATCATAATGTTTTGCATTCAATTTTCATTCTCATCCTGCTGGTTAACTCTCTTACTCTTTATTCGTGATATGTGTATTCAACAGGTTAATAGAATAGAATTATTCATTTCAATATCTGTGATCTGTCTTTACTCGAGTATTAGTCTTCCTTTGGAATGTATGGTATTGTCGATAGTGACCAGTTATTTTCGTTGAGAGGATTAATATTGTTCATTGCTCAATGAGCGCTTTTAGCTTCTGCCAGGCGTAAGTGTGGTTATCGCTAATCCGGAGACCAAAGGTCAATGTGCCGATTCGCATTTGGGTGAAATTTGGGTGGCTGGTCCGCATAATGCTGTCGGCTACTTCACTGTTTATGGTGACGAAACCTCACTACATACGGATCATTTCAATGCCAGGTTTCTGTAATTGATTTTCCGCCTCATTTTTTTTCAGATGTTCATTGAATTAGTAAGATAGGAATGAAGAAGGGATAACAAAATAGAACAGGTCACGCAATTTTGCCAGTGATAAATGAATTATACGTTTTTTTCATCCCTTTTCTAAATTCTCTTCTTGATGCCACTTACTTTTTAGTAGATTCTCTACAGATTCACAATCCTGAAATCTGATGCATTGTAAATCATTTCTTCACTAACTTCAGGCTTACCACTGGTGATACACGAACAAAATATGCACGAACCGGCTATCTTGGTTTTTTGCGACAGACACAATCTATTACTGCCGATGGAGGTGAATTGTTGAGTAAAAGACAAATGTTTTCTTGCCTTACAAATCTTTTCAAATCATACATGTAACTTAATGCAACCTTTCTGTTCTGAACAGTTCTACAGTTTATACTGAGATACAACTAAGAAAGGCTGTGGTATGGTACATTCAATATTTCGGCGCAGAATCAATGGCCAGTTTAGTATGACACTTTTGAAATTTATTTTGCGATGTCTAACTTCAAGTGGTAATTTGAAACTCGCGATTTGTCCTTTGTTGTCTGTGTGTTTTTTTTGTTCTATTAGAAGATCGGTACGAAATGAAAAGTGGTATGAATAAGTTGGGTTTTCAATGTATTTGGCTCATGCTTCCAAATTTACCAATCGTGGATCAAAAACTGATGTAGCCAGGCGTTAATGTTCTGCCCAATCCACATATTCACCTAATTTCACAGATAACTGTCACTATTTTCGGACTTTTGATGCACCTTTGCGTTGAAAGATATTCAGCTATCCGAAGGGAGTCGGAAATGTATTTTGGGACTCAGCTGATTCATATGATACAGATTTACATCACAGAATCGTGAATTTACTGCTTGAACGTTGACAACGTTATGTTAGGTGTTTGTCATTAATGGAAAGGTTGAATTGGAGTTATTTTATCAACTTTCATATAATTGCAAACTTGTTAAAAGAACTCAAGTGAAAAGGTTATTGTTTTTGTAATGAGTGACGAACCAAGAAGAAATATATCATATTGAATGATTGAAACGATTGGTTGTAAGTCATCAGTAATTTCAGAATTGCACGATGCTGTATTTGTTGTGGGCGCTCTGGACGAGACGTTGATGTTACGTGGAATGCGATACCATCCGGTTGATATTGAAGCGAGTGTCATCAGAGCACATAAGAAAATAATGGAATGGTTGATCATTATTATTTTAAAATTATCATTGTTATTAATAGCTTCTTTTTTCCAGTGCACTTTCGTAATTCGATTGATTTGTTGAATGATGCGCTCAAAACTCGTCGTTTGGAAGTTGACGTCTGTTGGCCATTTGTTATGTCAGCTGTGTGATTAGTGCTGTTCAACTAAGTCATATTTGATATTGATGCTCGAGGGTATAACCAAGCAATGTGATAGGAATGATGTATCGTATTTGCAGTGCGGTGTTCACCTGGACACATTTACTGGTTGTTGTTTCTGAAACAGAAGGCTCCGAGCTAGAAGCGTTGGATCTGATACCAGCAATCACTTCTGCTGTTCTTGAGGAACACCATCTGATCGTTGGCGTAGTGGTGATTGTTGATCCGGGCACTGTACCGATCAATAGTCGTGGCGAAAAACAGCGAATGCATCTGAGAGATGCGTTCTTACACGATCAACTTGATCCAATATATGTGGCGTATAATATGTAATGTGTAAATTATATAATATCTATAATACCTGTTTGTCATATCCTTCAGTCAAGCTGATGGCAATGCGATTCTTGCCGTTCTGTTCCATTCGTCACTCTGATCCACCTTCATTGTCATTCTTCAAAACTCGGTTTTAACCTCCAATCAACAGCAGTTCTTTTTGCTATGTCGCAACTCCTTAATTGGATCGAATTTGATATTATCGCTCAGCGACGTTGTTTATTTGATTTCATCATTCACTTTTATCAATCAATTTCTTAATGATCGAACATCGATCTGAACAGTGCACATAATTCGTTATGCGTCCATTAGAAATGCCAAACTCCATTGTACGAAGAACAAAATACGCATTTTCGCCTCTTTAATCAATTCACTATTTCCCTACCGTCTCAGTGAAAATTTTGAGTCAGTGGCAAAAAAATTCATACGTTAAACAGGATGAATTGTTTTGCAGAGCTATCAATATTCCTTTCTTGCGGAATTTGATGAAATTCGTCTGGTTAATGTTTTAAATACTACTTTTTTCCGGCATAAACGCCAGTTGTTCATCAGTTTGCCTTTTGCATCCCACCCTACCTTACTATCAGGTGATATTTGGAAGGAATGATGCGTAACACTAAAACTGACTGATAGTCGGCGCTTCACGCATTCGCATAATAAGGTGCTTTTCTGGGTATAAGTGTAACGGTTCTGATTTTTATCATGTAGATAAATTCTTAATGCCTTTTAATTCTAAGAGTCTTATTTACTTATTTATTATATTCATCTTGTGTAATTGTCATCATTCCATACCCATAAATTACTGCCAAAGAGCAACTGCATAAAATCACCAAAATCTCCAAGAGCATTATAAGAAGCATTCTTGATTCGCGCGCTCTTTAATCAGTTTTCATCATCTTTCAAAAGCTTGTTCGATAATGATAAATTATGTAGCAGATTTTTATTGCGTTACCTGGCCAGTGATTGTTGCAGTCTAAAATTTAGAATCATTGTATCGAATCAATAAATTATTTCGTTGTATTTAACAAATTATTTTTTTCCTCCAAATGGATCCGTTCTCCTGGTGACACTGTTCTCATTTGAAGTTGATATTCGCTTCGATAGCCAGTGAAATGAAGATTTTTAAACGTTAATCCATCAGTTATTGTTTCAGTGTTTCTTCAACAATCAAGAAAATAATAAGGCACCCCTGCAACTAAACTTTAAGATTATGTTAAGCGTAAGTATTTATTGACATTGATGGTTTACTGCAGCGAATTGCTTCGATTGCATATTGCAGGTTAAGAAGCATTACAGAATGATTGATAAGTTAATTTTTTATAATACCCAGATGGAAGAGTCAGTGACGAGTAATGACTAAACTTGAGTCGATCGTTTCCAACGATATGGAGAGATTTGGTACTATTTGTTTGTATTGAATGATGGAAGTGTACGTTCTTTACGTTTGTTTGTTGGTACGTTACTGTTTATTGCGTTCATTCCAGCGGTCGTCATCTATTCAATTATGCTGTCAACGCTGTACATCGTGTAACCCTTATTTGTATACATCGTTCTGCAATTATTCATGGAAAATGGTTATCGTTCAACTGATTCGTAATGTAGGGTATCGATATTTAGTATGCCTAGTTCGGGGGATGTTTTCATTTACTAGATATCGTGCATCTTTCTGCCAATAATTCTAGAACGAATGAGTACCTGATGAACGTTTTCTTCTCGTTTAGGAAAGATTACGTAAAAAGTGATGCTTCTCACTGATGGTTGCATATCTTGATAAGAGATGGAATGAACGATAGCTCACTCATTTTTTAAATTTCACAACGGCATTTTAAAAAATTAAACTGATTTCGACGAATTCATATTTTCGTATTATGCTTGAGATGTTCTGAAATTGGTTTGTTCTATGCGCTCACATTTTGGTCTCTGAATACTGATTTGTTTTTTATCTTTTCACACAACTGCTTTGCTCATCCACTCTGATTTGCTTTCATAATCTGCTTTTACTGTTGTATATTTGTTCTTTTCAAAATGTTGTGAGCAAGCAGTTCATCATGGTAAATAGCCACTTTGTATAAATGAACAGAAATTAATGTTTTTCTAATTGTTGTTATTAAAATGCATGTTGGTTTTTGAATGAATGAATGAATAATCCATGAAAATATGATGTGACATATCACTTGAATTAGCACTGCATCCTTGTCGATGTTTATAGCACATTCATAGCTCGTTTACTGCATTTTATCAGAAGCATTCGAAATGGCATAGGAGACCCTATAAGACCTCTTAACAGTGGTATTGATAAGTCGTCAGCATATCACCAACGAATCATTGTAAGATGCAAGAAGTTCTGTTTTAAGCAATGAGCAGTTCTGCTGAAAAGCAATGAGGAGATCGTTCCAGATCAGCGAGCGTGATAAGTGGCTACGGATGTTAGGGCAGGAGAAATTTGGCATCGATGTTTTGATGGTTCGATCAGATAAGGCTTATCGCTCCTGAGCTTATCGCATCGTCCGATCAACTGATAGCAAAAGAACGTCGATTGTAAACATATGTGCGCCTTTTTTTCGGTGACTTTTGCTGGTCATGTTTCCAGTCCGTGTATGTTGTTAATAGGGATTTGGTAGAAATAAGATTTGAAGTGAAAGCATCATTGAAGTTTTTCAATTCGATTTATCTGCACTAAGATGAGGTTGGTGTATATCGCATTGATTCGAGTCATTTATTTTGCCTCGTGGTGTCATCGAAACTAGAATAGAAATGGGTTTCGAAAAGATTTATCTAATAGCAAAATTACACAATCATTTTGATTTATGACGTTTCGATGAGAATTAAACAGTCTTCCGAACTTCATCAAAATGGTATTAAATCAGTGTTATGTATACGATAAGTTTATAATTCATCTGTATTACAGTTCATAACCCTTTACTTCACCTCGCTATGCTGACATTTGAGTCATTAGCTTGGAACGGTAGCTTTATTTTATGATTTTAACTGGAAGTATGGCTATTCTTGCATAGCCACCCAAACTCTACTCTGCACAAGTTTTATTGTTTCTGAGCTGTTCTCATGCTTTTATAGCATGTTATCTGCATTCTGAGTTATTCATGTGCCATTTTAACAGTCCTATTTCATTGATTTTGAATAACTGCTTCAAACAAGTTCTATTCTCGAAGTGCTTAAGTGGAATACATCAGCATTATCATTTCTTCTTACGAAACCGTCTCCCAATTATGAACATCTTTTCATCTTTCTTTTTCTTTTATTTTCGCTTCAAAACCTTTATGTTTATATGCAAAATCAGTTTCGATCGTTCGCTGCTTCGGTGATGATCAAAGTAAAAAAACGCTCATGAGCATCTCAGTTTGGGCTTTTGGAAGCGCTTTCTGGAATTTGTTGATATCATTCGATCGAATCCATGAGACTGTTTCAACTTTTTAGTGTTAATAGTCGATTTGTAATCGACCAATCAAAATTTTAGTTTCTAACGATTCAAACTCGATTAGGTAACATCACAACTGCCATATACTGCACGAAATTACCGCAGTGTTCATTAGCAAAATCGCTTTGAATGAAATGATCAAATGCATAATGAGCGATTTTAAGCATATTTAGCTGTTCGTACACCGATCAAATCAAAGTCGAAAATCGATTCGATTGATTTGACAAAAATTATTCGAAGGGTTCGATATCTGTGTCGTAGTTTAATGGATTAAGTGTGTTTTTTTTGGTTCATCGTATCATTGATATGATATCACGAATTAAAAAATAATTTCTAAATGATTTATGAAATTTTTCATCATTTGGTAGTTGTGAAGAATCCACCTCATATCATCTTTGTTAATCGCAACATAACATTCATGTTATTCTCTTTTATTTTATCCAAGTGCACTTGTTTATTCTTAATCGTTTGTAATATTTGGCTGATCCCTTCGACGGGCATCTTAGCCACTGGCTTGATTGAGTGAGTGAGTGTGATTGCTCAAAAATGGAGCGAAACTTGCATGTGTTGGTTCTCATCTTTCAGGATAATCATCTTTGAGAACAAAATCAATTGAGACTACTCATTGGAATCAACTTGCTTTCAGCAGTAAATACACTAGCAATTCGATGCTTCTTCAGAGGCACATTCATTCAACAAACGAAAGATCGCACAAATTCTGTGCTGCATGTCAACTTCAGCATTTTTCTGTGATTCCGTCATCGTAGACGAAACGTAGTCTATCACGAACAGATCAGTTCAAATGTGGTGTAGTGAAAAATGTAGCTGTTATGCTTCTTTTATTAATCACAATAAATGATTTGATACGATTGAGGTTCGTTGAAATAACGTGCTGCGGTCAATTATTCACAACTATTCACTGGAAATGGAATGAGTAACTCGTTTTGCAAGTGAACATGTATGATGTGAATAATAGGTCTGCTGATAAATCATCTCTTAATCATCATCTTTTAATATAATATAATACCAAATATGAATCTGTGTCGATTGCTTTCGTCCCCTTATCTATTAATTTGTCTTCATCATCATACAGCCCACTTGGTTATTCCATATCACTTTATTTTCATTTGGCGATGTTACAGAATATGAGATTACACTATTATATTAATATCTTTATCATTATTTATTACTATTCTGTAATTCCATTATGCCTATTCAGTGATCATTATATACACTGTGTTTTTTGCAGTCTAGCTGGCAGTTCTCACTTGTTTACAATCGTTTTTTGCACTTGACAAATGCAGTAATGTCTATTTTGCGCTAAGTACGCTGTTATGCTCACTAAACGCTATTTACTGAGCTCTGTCCAGTTTTACTCACTTGATTGTCTTCTTCAAATCAGTTTTATCAATTCATATTAACATTACTATCAACAAAAATGTTTTGAAGAAACGTCATTCAGTTCGCTGAATTTCATTTCCATCTCATTTTCTGCACATTTTTGCTTATAACTGTGACGCTTGTCCATCGATTGCTTAATTCGAGTGATGCAGTTTGAGAGGAT